CGCGATTTTCCTAATTATTTTTTTGATTGATGTAGAAGTCTAGGTCTTAAATGCAACTTTCATAAAGCACCAAAGACAGTTGCTGTGTCCGTGAACCTTAAACTTACCTGAACAATCATTCGTTTATTTCTAAACCCCAATAATGATTGAAATTGATGTGTAAAAGCGGGATCAACATAGTGAATGAAGTGATTGAATCAGTGGAATCGACATGATCACAACACTTTCATATATATAAGAAATACATATTAAAGAGCAAAAGCAAACAAAACTTATGTGTTTACATCTTCACCTAGAAGATCTTTGTTTTTCGGGGTGTAAATTGTTGTCAGCGGGATGAATTCGTTAAAAAAGTTAGGCAGCTTAGCAACTACTCCGTCTTCGAAGAGCCTGAAATCAAGTTGCTGCCAGTACACATGGCTGGTTAAGAAAACGAATAATTTAATGACGAAATTCGCTGTTTTTACGGTCTATGCCAGTACACGTTAAAATTGATTTGCGGTTCGACCCATACCTGTAATACATCGACTGTATTGGATTATTGCCAGTCCTGCTCTTTCCTCTGTAATTTCTTATTGTCTCCCCCGTGGTTTCAGTTTATAACCTGTTTTTGGTTAGGACTGAGGCAGGGGGTGCTGCTGTGACTTACTAACCAGACTGAATAGGCCAATTAATTTGGTATGTATCGATAAAAACTAGCCTACATCGGTGTGGATAACATGTATACTGTCAAAACGATAAAGTGATTTTCATAGTAATAATTGGCGGTCCGCTGATTCTTCCTGATTGACGAAGATGATCATTGCCTAGTCTCGATGCGACCGTTATGCTGTCTCATATCACCACAAAGGTCCGTAATTTTCTTCTTGCCGATCTTCTCATCTGAGCTGAGCTCTTCCAATTGTGTGCTTGCAGCCCCTTGGGTACCAGTTTATCAATAAAGTTCATTGAATATCTCCGTTGTATCGCGCTGTTGTCCGACACGAGAAGTGTGTATGAGACTGGGAGCCATTTTTATGTTTGTACATTTCATTTCTTTCTATCTGAGGAAATGATTTTGACTACTCTCCACCTTGCAATGCTTCCTGGGCAGGATATCCATTTGTTCTTAGTCTAGACCAAATGTAGTTCCTGTTTACGGCTTTGTGAGGCATTATTCTCAAAGTTTTCTTCACTCACAGCCTTCCCTTCAAAGAATTTCACTGAGCGGTGCTTCATCTCGCTTAGGTGTTATCATAGTATTTGCGCTTATTGATTTCTGATTAATTTAAAATCACTCTATAAATATTATTTATCGAAAAATTACCGTTTAATGCTGTATGGTTTTTTTAAAGGGAAAGCGGCGGCGAAGGTATTGAGGATACCGAAGGTCGTAAGGAAGCACAACGAGAGTTGACTCTAGACGAATGGAAGGCATTGCAGGTATAATCTTTACTTAAACGACTTAATGTTAATCGTAAACATTTTTAGGGACCTCGAAGTAAGCCGAATTTCAACATTCGTAAGCCCGGAGAAGGAGAGTCGAACGCCGAGTGGAAAAAACTTGTGCCGTTGAAGCGCGATACACAGGACGACGATGAACAATCAGAAGAACTTGAAGATGAAGAGGAAATGGAAGTACGTTGTCTGCTTTGAATTCCCAATTATAATCTTGAGTTTTTTTTCCTTCTTTGGGATCAGAATGTGTATCCTTTATTAAGACGTGTAGAACATTTTGTAATGTCACTTTTGCTGTAGTTAGCAGGTAATTTGCAGAGTGTGACCCTATTTAGTTGTTGTAAAACAGTCACCAGATTTACAAATTTGCAGTGACCCTGAGTTCAGTAGTTTCTAATTATAGTTTATTTTGCGTCTAGTTTTTCATGAAGTAGTTTTTCGGTTTTTAAAATACAAAACAAATAAATATTCATTTGGCATGCATTGTGCACCTGAAAAATTCATAATAAGAAGTGTTCTGTTTTGTGGTTGACGCGAAATGCTGGTGAAAAGAAGAATCATACAGAATTTGTCTAAGCGTTGGGTTAATTTAGACTACTCATGTAATCGAACTGAGACACCATCAGACCTCAGATTGTTTCGGCTGTTAAAAGCCATAGTAAGGTGGAGAGTTTAAAATACCACCGATACTGTTTCTTTTTGATACAGTGCATATTTCCTTTAGACGATTGGAATTTTCCTTACCTCAAATTTCTCAGACGCACAGTAGCCCAGTAAATCACAGGATGTTATGAAGTGTAGTGTTTCTAATAACCACGGATAAAAACCACGGATAATTTGTATACACGTTTATTTAACGTTACCGTGTGGTCGATTAAGTTTAAATTGAAGACAGCATGGGTTTAATCATGATATCGTATTTCACAACATCTTATGAATAAACGTCCCTGAAAGCTATTGTGATAGTTTGTTCTGATGAAAAGAGGAAAAAGTTTCGAAACTTTCCTTCTTGGGAATGTCAATGTTTAGTTATATCTTTCCACTTTTGTAAGTGTTATTGACGATATTACAAGCCACCTTATTTCGTGTAGGGTTTGTATTGATAGTAAAGACTAGTCCATCTGTGCAATTTTCTCTGATCTAGGTAATCTGTAATATTACTGCATTCAACTTTATCATAATTGTTGAATGTGGCTAA